CGATTATTTTGAATAGACAATAAGCAGTAAAATGGAGACAACGATTTGAAAAACACACGTGGCACGCCACGTCGCTTTACGTTCATAGTCAATTATGTACATAGAAAGTGGGTCATTAAGTCAGATATTTTTTAATTATACGACTCTTGTCTAGGATTGCGCGGTTTCTTGTTTAAAAATCCGGCGAATTTTCGTTCAAAGTGCATGAAAATGCAAGAAAATCAATTTCGTCAAAATTAAGAAAGTTTTTAAAAATAACTATTTTTCAACAAATTTCATGTGAAATTTCGAAATTTCCAGAATATGTTTCACTTGTAACAGGGCTGGGAATAAAAACCGCCGGCGGAACGGCGGCTGAAAAACAGCTGCGACGTTTCGGCGTGAAGCCGGCTTTCGGCTTCCACGTTTTCGGCTGCAGCCGGCTTTTTCGGCTTTTTTTATAACACGGTCAATACGTTTTAAATTAAATACGTCAAAATTTCAGATTTTTTTCAAAATTCTCAAAAAATAGTTTTTAAAAAAATACTTTGAATTTCTATTCACAGCCGAAAAAGCCGGCTGTCGGCGGCGTCGCCGCGGATGCAGCTTCCACGTGGAAGCTGAAAAAAGCCGGCGTTTTTTCGGCGAAAGCCGGCTTTTTCCCAGCCCTGCTTGAAACGTAAGGAAATTTTGAATTTCAAGCAACGCATTTTTAAAAGGACCTTCTATTAGAGAGGCCGTTCAATCAAACAAGCCCTTTTATATAGGTTTTAGTGTATATATTTATAGAAATTGTTTTCAATTCTGAAATTGGAAAAATTGCAATTGAAAAATAATTTATTTAAAAACCGTAAAAACGGCAAAAAACCCTGATTTATGCATTCAAAACCCTGGCGAAAAATGATCACTAATTAGAAAAAATTGTAGAAATCAGATCACAATAATCCATATCATTAGCTGTAACGTTTTTGATTTTCCAAGAGCTTCCATTCTTGGAAAAAGTGAAAAATGCATCTTCTTGGGTTACTGTAGCCTGGACTAGTCGGAAAAACTCTTGGAGCTCACTTTCGCCGTCCATGATCGACCAAGGGACAAACTTTCCCTTGGATTTGTCCGCAAAAGTGGACGCTAATGAGGGAATGCTCTCTTGGGGCAGATTTTCTAGCTGAAATTGGAGAATTACGAAAATCCAGACATCCAGACACACAGACTTACCTTGTAGACCGACAGCTCGGAATAGCAAAGAGGCTCCCTGGTTTTTGGATCATCGTCCATCGTTCCTGTCCTGGTTCCCAGCATTAAAATTGGCACGTTGCCAAAAACACAATCCCAGAAAAATTCACAGCTTTTCTCTTTCCAAAAATTCAGAGTTGTGGTGGCATATCGCACTACTCGGAAAGCCAAGTGTTGCTGATTGGCTGGAAATTTGAGAAAACAGCAGTGACCTGGATAAAGGTGGGGGGACAGGAAATTTTTCGTAGTTTTTTTGTAGCTAGAGTATGCATTCTACCGTGACGGTGTACAACGCTTAACGCCACTCTGCGTACAGCTGTCGTCCTCGCCTTTATGTATGCAATTGGGCGACCGTTTCCTCTTGCCCGCGTGGCTCAGTCGGTAGCGCGACCCACCCTCAATCCTCGCCCCCACAAGTACAACTCCTCGAGGGGCATATTTTAATGGAATTTCGAAAACATTATTTTTCTCATATTTCCCACCTATAAAGGGCCGTGGCCTAGAAATCAAAACTCACCGTCTCTTCCATCCACTTCTCCGAAATAATAAACTTTGGCTCCTCCAGGGATTGTGGCCTCGAAGATTCCGAATACTTTTTGTTCAGAAGTTCCCAGAAAATAATCCTTGAAAAGTTTCTCATATTTTTTCTGGCAGCAGTCCTCTTCTTGTTTTTCCCCGGACCATAGAAAAGTTACTCCGGATTTTCGAAACACACGAATTCCTTCGGATGATTCTGAAGAGGGATCAGAAGACGTCGCTATTCTTGTGAGCACATTTTTTTGAGTTACGAACTCCGGAGCGCCATTTTCTTGGATTTGTTTTAAAAAAAGTTCGAAGGAATCTGAAGATTCTGAGAGAACCTCCGAAGTTTCTAGATTTAGATTTAGGAATGGAAAATGTTTGGGGTTCTTTATAAAATTTTGGTTGTTGTTGAGAGTTGGTGGAAGGGCAGGTTCTGGGGATGGCGAGCTGAAAATAATTGGGAAAAATTCAAAAAGTCAATAAATTGAAAATTTTCGAATTTCTCGAATTTTTGAAAAACATAGATTTTGGGATTTTTGGATTTCCATTGAAATTTTGAATTTTGAATTCTTGGAAAACTTAGGGAAACTTTAAAAACTATTTTCTGAATTTCTGAATTTCTGAATTTCTGAATTTCTGAATTTCTGAATTTCTGAATTTCTGAATTTCTGAATTTCTGAATTTCTGAATTTCTGAATTTCTGAATTTCTGAATTTCTGAATTTCTGAATTTCTGAATTTCTGAATTTCTGAATTTCTGAATTTTTGAATTTCTGTTTTTCTGAATTTCTGAACTTCTGAACTTCTGAATTTTTGAATTTCTGAATTTCTGAATTTCTGAATTTCTGAATTTCTGAATTTCTGAATTTCTGAATTTCTGAATTTTTGAATTTCTGATTTTCTGAATTTCTGAACTTCTGAACTTCTGAATTTCTGAATTTCTGAATTTCTGAATTTCTGAATTTCTGAATTTCTGAATTTCTGAATTTCTGAATTTCTGAATTTCTGAATTTCTGAATTTCTGAATTTCTGAATTTCTGAATTTCTGAATTTCTGAATTTCTGAATTTCTGAATTTCTGAATTTCTGAATTTCTGAATTTCTGAACTTCTGAATTTCTGAATTTCTGTTTTTCTGAATTTCTGAATTTCTGAATTTCTGAATTTCTGAATTTCTGAATTTCTGAATTTTTGAATTTCTGTTTTTCTGAATTTCTGAACTTCTGAACTTCTGAATTTCTGAATTTCTGAATTTCTGAATTTCTGAATTTCTGAATTTCTGAATTTCTGAATTTCTGAATTTCTGAATTTCTGAATTTCTGAATTTCTGAATTTCTGAATTTCTGAATTTCTGAATTTCTGTTTTTCTGAATTTCTGAATTTCTGAATTTCTGAATTTCTGAATTTCTGAATTTCTGAATTTCTGAATTTCTGAATTTCTGAATTTCTGAATTTCTGAATTTCTGAATTTCTGAATTTCTGAATTTCTGAATTTCTGAATTTCTGAATTTCTGAATTTCTGAATTTCTGTATTTCTGAATTTCTGAACTTCTGAACTTCTGAATTTCTGAATTTCTGAATTTCTGAATTTCTGAATTTCTGAATTTCTGAATCTCTGAATTTCTGAATTTCTGAATTTCTGAATTTCTGAATTTCTGAATTTCTGAATTTCTGAATTTCTGAATTTCTGAATTTCTGAATTTTTGAATTTCTGTTTTTCTGAATTTCTGAACTTCTGAACTTCTGAATTTTTGAATTTCTGTTTTTCTGAATTTCTGAATTTCTGAATTTCTGAATTTCTGAATTTCTGAATTTCTGAATTTCTGAATTTCTGAATTTCTGAATTTCTGAATTTCTGAATTTCTGAATTTCTGAATTTCTGAATTTTTGAATTTCTGTTTTTCTGAATTTCTGAACTTCTGAACTTCTGAATTTCTGAATTTCTGAACTTCTGAACTTCTGAATTTCTGAATTTCTGAATTTCTGAATTTCTGAATTTCTGAATTTCTGAATTTCTGAATTTCTGAATTTCTGAATTTCTGAATTTCTGAATTTCTGAATTTCTGAATTTCTGAATTTTTGAATTTCTGTTTTTCTGAATTTCTGAACTTCTGAACTTCTGAATTTTTGAATTTCTGTTTTTCTGAATTTCTGAATTTCTGAATTTCTGAATTTCTGAATTTCTGAATTTCTGAATTTCTGAATTTCTGAATTTCTGAATTTCTGAATTTCTGAATTTCTGAATTTCTGAATTTCTGAATTTCTGAATTTCTGAATTTTTGAATTTCTGTTTTTCTGAATTTCTGAACTTCTGAACTTCTGAATTTCTGAATTTCTGAATTTCTGAATTTCTGAATTTCTGAATTTCTGAATTCCTGAATTTCTGAATTTCTGAATTTCTGAATTTCTGATTTTTTTTGGATTTTGGAAATTTTCAGAACTTCTCAAAATTTTCAAGACCACCCATACTATGTTTGCTCTCTGATAAGAATTTTCAAAAACTATAAAAACTCACTTTTCCGAACTTCCAGCTCTAAAATACCGTATAGTCTTGACTTGTATTATACTTTTCATCGGGTTTTCTTTGAGCAAAAAACTGAACAATGGGGAAGCGGGAAGTGTGAAAAAGTACGAATAAAAAACGTTTCGTTTCTGATGATGGACGGTGAAAACAAGAACAGCAAACGGGAGAGTTTTTCGTGTCAATTTATATTATTTTTGAAGTGATAACAAAGAGAAAAACTGATAAGAAACCCAAAAAAAATCAAATCAGACAAATCGGAAAACTAAATAAAGAAACTTCGAAAATTTTTTGAAACCTCAAAAATTAAGGGCTCATTATCTCTGTTCATGTTAAAGACATCAAAAACGTGTCAACTGATAAAATATTGGTGATTTTATGATAAACAACTTATCAGTTGAAAAATTATTTATATCTTTCACAACAATCGAGATAATTAGGGATGAAGTCAACTACCGTATTTGCTCTGATAGAAGTCCACCCCATTCGTGCGCTTTGAGCTTAATTATCTCGGTCCGTATAAGAGATATCAAAAAACCGTCAACTGATAAAATATTAATGATATTATGATAAATATTTTATCAGTTGACCATTTTTTGACATCTTTCACAGGAACCGAGGTAAATTGGTTCAAACATTGAACACATAAATTTTAGTTCGAAAAGCGAAAAATTTAATGGTATTTTAAAAGAGCGTGGTGAAGAAAGGTGAATTTAAAAAAATCCACGTGGCAGAAAAGTTTTGAAAAAAGAAAAAGTATTTAAATTCTTGATTTAAAAAAGCGGCGTGAAGAAACCCATTGACCCCGGGAAAAGTAGTATAAAGGAAGAAGGAAGTGGAGGAAAAAAATCAGTTCTCCCTTCTCTGGGGCTCCAGAGAAGGGAGGGGAGCTTCGGCTGGAGCCAGGAACCGGGAGCCTGGGCCGGCAGGAGCTCCGAGACCTTGAGCTCGAGGTCTAGCTGGAGCCTGGAACAAGATTCAGGAGCCGGGAGCAAGGAGCCGGGAGCCAGGATCAGGAAGCCAGGATCAGGGAGCTGGAGCTGGAACTGGAGCTGGAGCTGGAGCTGGAGCTGGAGCAAATACTGCAACTGAAGTCAGAAGGCACCAATTCTGGATCGTATGCTGGAGCACATGGACACTCACGGACGTGGACCATTTATGAAAAAAATTATGGAATGTTCATCCACAAAGTTCAAGATAATGGATTTAAAAATTACGATGCCTGACTATTCAGACGATTCAGACGAAGCCGATTATGCTGACAATTTATATGTGGTGTTGTCGACCCACGTGGCTATTCACCGACTCAACAACTTTAAGATATTCTGAGGACCTCTAGGCCCAGCCCACTGTGCTTACTCCTCAAAAATCTTCCTATTTCCCACTTTATTCTCTTTATTTTCCTTTGTTTATTAGTCTTTTATTGCTATCTCATATTCAAATTCCCGCCAATTTTCTCTCCCTTCGTGCAAGCGCGCCCTATCGTTGAGGTCTCGCCACGAAGGGGTTAAAGGCGCACACACACTCGAAACGGGTTACTGGCCTATTTTTACTCAGATTAACTGAGTCTTACACAGATTAACTGCGTCTTACTCAGTCTAAATCTAGTCTAGTAGTTAGTGCTGTTCCGTGACGTTTCCCTTCAGTTTGCAAGTCCGTCAACCTCGTTACTTATCATTATTCCTACTATTCCAATACTATAAGACCTCCGGCGATCCCCGATCGCCTTACCGGCCTTATTGGACTATCGGAAACCGTTAATGATGAGAGTTGATATAGATTTCCTTCTGAATAGACTAACGGCCAGTTCTGTGACCTGTTTCATGAGTGTTTTCCTTTCAGTGCTCTCATCGTGACCACTAGGAAGCGTGTGCTATTGGGAACTTTGTCTATGAGAAGCGATAAGCTTGTCACCGGTAGGAGAAGGGTTTTTGTTGCCCAAGGCTTTTTGCCCCTTCAACTATTGAGTGATCAGTGATGTCCTTCTCGTCCGTCTCCAAGCCAGCCCGACTCCAAGGAAACCTCTTATTGACGATATATTCTCTTTACTAAATATATACCGTTCAATAAATGGGTCACTGATACTACTGTTGTTACTATTGTTTCCACACCGCTTATCTGCCCGCTCGTCGTCCCACTCCTCGCTACAGACATAACTAGTTCCCCTGTTACCGATGCACTTTCCCCTATTTTACCAGACTGCACGCACAAGGAGGTAGCTTGTTTCTCTGGAGCCGTCACGGGGAATCCAACACTCCCCAAGGTGACCCCTCTACATGTGGGCCTTCAAAATGGAAAACGGAAAGAAATCGAATTTATTGAACTCGCCATTTTTTATTGAGTGAACAAAATTTTGTATTTTTTGTTATTTAAATTTTAGAAAAAAACATAGTTTTACAAGCAAAAATTAGTTCGGATCTCCATTAAAAATCCCCATAATCACTGGAACATTCTCATGGATCATACAAATTAAAAATGGACGATTTGCTTGAAATTTGAATGGAACTGTATCACAAGGAAGTTTTATGAATCCAATCGATCGTTTCGTGATAATTCGACATTTTCCAATATCATCTGTGCTTTGAGAAGAGACTTGGAAACTTGATTTTTGAGGAGAGTTCGGGATTTCAGGAATTTCGAGAATTGATGATATGGAGAAAATTGGGATTTCAAAGTCGATGAATCCGGGTGAAAGTTCTCGAATCAAGTTTTGGAATTTTTCAGCGTCAAGGTTCTGGAAAAAATCTGATTGTGAGACTTACAATTATCTTTTTCATTTTTGCATATTTTTCCTCTACAGTAATCATATTAATTTTAAAATGCTCTTTCACTACAGTAATCCTTCTAATTTTCCAACATTTTTTTCCCTACAGTAATCTATTCAGTTTTCAAATATTTTTCCCTACAGTAGTCTTTTTCATTTCCCAATATGATTCTTCTACAGTAACCCTTCTCGTTCAGAAATTATTTTTTCCTTACAGCAATGCTTTTGATTTTCAATAATTCTTTCCAACAGTAATCTTTTGGATTTTCTAATGTTTTTCTCTACAGTAATCCTTTTCATTTCCCAATATTTTTCCCCTACAGTAATCATTTTAATTATCAAATGCTCTTTCACTACAGTAATCCTTCTAATTTTCCAATATTCTTTCCCTACAGTAGTCCTTTTAATTTTTTGAATATGTTATCCTTACAGTAATCCTTTTGATTTTCAAATACTCTTTCACTACAGTAATGCTTCTATTTTTCCAATATTTTGTCCGTACAGTAATCCTTTCAGTTTTCAAACATTTTTTCTACAGTAATCCTTTTAAATTTCAAATGTTTTCTACAGTAACCCTTCTCATTCACGAATTTTTTTCTCCTTACAGTAATCCTTTTGATTTTCAATTAATTCTTTCCTACAGTAATTTTTTTGGATTTTCTAATGTTTTTCTCTACAGTAATCCTTTTCATTTTCATCATATTTTTGGGTCTCTAAAAAGTTTTCGAAATTTCGGAAAACCGAAAAAAAATTTTCATGGAAATCCCTAGATCAAATTAAAAGTTTTTTGAGTTGCCGCCAAAATCCAAAGTACAATTAAAGATGGAAAACATTAAATTTTTTTTGGGTCTTTTGAAAAAAGCCGTAAAAAAAGGGAAATTGAGTTTTTTGGAACCTTCAAGAAGGTTCTAGAAATCGAAGACTGAAAACATTGGAATTTTAAAAAATAACGTACATTCAAAGTTTCCTGAGAATCGGATTTCGGAAGAAAAATCATAAAAGACAGATCATCATCAGCCATTGGAATGTGCAAAACCAATCAAAATCTGGAGCATTTTTGATAATCTCTGATAATATCGGCTCACTAGACTCCAGAGAATTGTTAACAAGAGATAGGGAAATGGAAATTGGAGAAAAAACGCAAGATTTTTGAAATCCAATTTTTTGAAGAATGTTCAAACTGATGGAAAATTGGAAGACTCCATTTTGAAAATTTAGAAAAATACGAAAAAAATAGTTACCAAATAAGAATTAGGCCCCTATTTTTATAAATTGCCCCTTGGCTCCGCCCACAACTGGACCTCCGCTTACTGTTTGTCTACTGATTGTGAGGAACGTGGGGGGTGAGTCGGTGAAATTAGAAGATAGCAAGATAAACATTTAAGGAGCCAGATTTCTCAGAATTGGAAGATTCCGAAATACTTCGAAATTTTTTTTGGGAAGTTTTGAGTTTCTCAGGTCTTAAGCTTCGAAATGAGTATAAACAAGGCATATTTTGGCGAGATTAGATTTTGGGCCCATACCTGCCCAAAAATGCTTTAGACTGTATCTCGTCCTATTCCGATCTTTGTGATTTTGAATCTTCCTTATATATAAAACGCTACACGCGTCTGTTGGTCCCCCTGTCAGTCTGTCGACTTTTGAAAAACTTAAAAAATAAGAATAGTATAATCATGTCGACATTTGTCAAAATGTTTGGTTTTCAAGATTTTTCGGTAGCTGGTGAAAATTCGAACATTTGAAAAATGGTTTTCTTCAGAATTGGAGATTCTTAAAATCGTCGGGCTCAATTATCTCTGCTCTCAAACGAGATATCAAAAATCTGTTAAGTGATAAATGTTACTGATAATATGATAAAGATTTTATTAGTTGACAGGTTCTCGATATCTCTCATCTTGATATCTCTCGGTATTTTTCCAAACCTTTTTTTACTGGATGACATTTTTTTTGTTCACAACTGAAAAAACTGGGTTTTCACATAAAATACACCCAATAAAAAAACCCAATATGTTTTTTGCCAGGTTTTTACATCCATCCTACTAACCTCAATTTTTCGCCCCCTTTTGTGGTCCACTGCCAGAGACAGTGACACAATTTGTTCGACGTCGAAGACAAGAGAGAAAACGATGAAGAGTTCAACGAATGTGAGGAATTAGAAACTGTGCACCTAAATGTCAATAGAAAGAACATTGACTTATTACTAAGTCTTTATTAAATATAATTATAGAGAAAAGGTTAGCGAAAGATGACTTAAGGTCATCTCAAAGATAAGAGAGAATTAATGTGACATGTTTGAGCAGGTGACTTGAACTTGGCGCCGGAGAAGTGTGTTGTTGGTGGAGTGTACGCACGAGACGCTTCAAACTGGTGACGTTGGCGGGAGTTTGAATGCAGGCCGTTGGGGTGTAAAAGATCTGAAGAAACCTGAAAGAACATTAGAGAGGATTTTCCTCATTTGAGATTAAAGACTCGTGGAATATGTGATATTCCACGACACCCCCAGCCATCCACGTATCACACCGCACACCTCTCCCGTCTAATTGTAAACCAATCAGTTTCCGAAATAATGCCAACTGCCAGAACCGTATCCATCGGAGCAGTAGCTCATCAAACCCGTAAAAACAAAACCAGTGGACCCCCAAAGAAAACGAAGAAGTCAAAAAACCCAAAACCGTCAAAGAAGAAGGCGAAGAAAAATGAAAAAGAGGAAACGGAGCAAGAGCAACGGCAACAAATTGAGCTGGATATGTTGTTGAAACGGTTGAAGGTGAGAGGGGTCAAATTTGAGTCGATTTATCTAATTTCTGTAATAGATATCAAAAAGTGATCAACTGATAAAATATTGCGAATATTATGGTAAACATTTTATTAGTTGACCACTTTTTGATATCTGAAAATGAGATACAGGGCTCAAAGTTGATGGTCATTCTATTCGAGTGATTACAGTAATAAGCGTTTATCTCCCAGGAAAACAAAACCCTGGACGACATCAACATTGGGAAATGGGACAATAAATGGACAAAATGCAGCAGGATGAGAAATCGGATGACGAGTATTCAGATGAGCCAAAATTTGCAGAGAAGACTTCGTTGGAAAAGAAGAAGAAGAAGAAGGATAAGACGAATGAGCCAATTACCGAGAAGCAAAAACTGAAAAAGTATCAGGTGGATCGAGAGGATTACATGCAACAATGTGCGAATGCAGATGAGAAGCCTGTTTTTTATGAGGAATACACGCCCACTCATTTTTCGACTTTTTTTGGAATCGAGAAGACTGGATGGTCCCATTCAGGTTAGGTTTTGAAATTTTTGAATATTTTGACAATCAAAATTTTCTGATTACAAAGATTTTTAGCATGAAAATGCGCTAAAATCATAAAAATCGGTTGATCCACAGCCGAGATACAGTCATTTGCATTTTGCAAGAGAGACGCAGAGAAACGAGAGTGCTCTCGTTTCTCTACGTTTCTCCATTCAACTTTAAAGTCGAATAGCTCGTTTTTAACGGTAACATAAATGAACAAAAATTTAACGATTTCAAAGGAAATTTCAAAGAATTTCAAACAGACTAAAATATGCAACTTGAAAAAATTATCAACATGAAAAAATATATAAGGTGCAAATAGTGGTCATACCTTCTGCAAAGTTCAAAAATTTGCAGCCAGTAAAACATTCCAACATCTTGTACAGTATACGAATGAAGTGATGGAAGAGTATGAGCCTCCAACGATGGACCACTTCTCGGAATTGCTCACCAAGTCTCCAAAACTCCGAAGAACATCTCCATACACAAATTTCTGCTTCAACCCAATTCAAGCCATCCGAGCATGGACCCTGCTCAATAATATTGCTCAGAATAAGACTGCTGAAGAGTTGAGACAGTTTATTGATGGATGTAAGTCAAATTTTTATTTCTGAGAAATCCGAAACTTCCAGATACCAAGGGACTTTGCCACTTCATATGCCACATGATATGCATTTGAGACGAAAAACGAGCACTTTTTATGGTGGAAAAAGTAAACGAGCTGCTGTTCAACATCATTGTTTTGCAACGGATTCGGATGGATTCTACTCGTGCTATAGGATTGATGAGGAGGTTTCGGTAAGGTGATAAGAAGATAATTTTAAAAAAAGAAGTTGCCCCCGACGGGACTCGAACCTGCATCGCTTGTGCAAAACCGTAGCGTGCTAGCCACTAAACTACGGAAGACAACAAGGTCTTTGGTGGGGAGGGCGTATAAAATAGCGGCCTTTCCTTCACCCTCCGCCATTCTCATTCACCCTCTTTGCTCATCAAACCAAGAAAGAAAAGCTGTCAAGAGCTCAATTATCTCGTTTACTATGAAAGATATCAAAATTTTGCGAACTGATAAAATGTTTGCCACAATATGATAAACATTTTATCAGTTTACAAATTTTTTATATCTTTTACAGGAACCGAGATAAATTAGGTCAAAGTTAGAGGCCCTTTTATTACAGGTGTTTCTTGTCAGTGATCACTCTATTCGATCATTATCATAAAACCGTTTTTGATATTCTACCAAACCCTCCGAATAAAACTGGATTAAAGAAGAGGCAGTTTGATGTGTTGGCACCAGGCAAAGCACATCAATGTATTGAGGATTCAATGGCAAAATTGTTTGGAAAGTTTCAGGATGAAACGAGTGAGTTTTTAAAGATTGGGCGTGTAAAAAATTACTTATGGGCCGACCATTGGAGCCTCTAACGGCTGCTCTACTTTGCGCCAATTTTTCTCGATTCTTGTACGAGATATCAAAAAGAGATCAACTGATTAATATTGTTGATAATATGATGAACATTTTGTTAGTTGACCACTTTTTGATATCATTCTTAGGATCTGAGATATTTAAATTTAAAGGCGTCCCTTCTCCTATCATTCTTAAAGGTGCGGGGACAGGAGATTTTACGGGGGATTTTTGGGGCCAGAGTATGCATTCTACCGTAACGATGTACAACGCTTTATGTCACTCTGCGTACAGCGGTCGTCCTCGCCTTTATGTATGCAATCGGGCGTGCGCTTTCTCTTTGCCCGCGTGGCTCAGTCGGTAGCGGCGCCGCACTTTCAATACTCGCCTCGACAAGTTCAACTCCTCGAGGGGCATATTTAATCAGAATTTCGAGAACATTATTTTTCCATGTCCCCCCACCTTTAAGACACTTTTACATTGAGGCAAGATATCTCTGTTCCGAGAAATGATATAAGACGGTTGAAATTTGAAGACTTTTTCGCATGTATAGAAACAGCTCGAATTGATGATTTCATGGACCATGTAGCCTTTATTTCAGTTTCACCAGATATCTGAATTTTCTGTACAAAAATTATGAATATTCCAGAAATTAGTCAAAGTTATAGAAAATGTTTATTTGATGGATCTGAAAATGATCTTGAACGAAAAAATAGGTGGACAAATTGAAATTGGACAGTGTAGTAGTAGTATTATCAAATCCAAGTGACAACCAATCTTCCTGCACTTTAAACTCCTTGTTGCTCTGTGCCTTCTTTTCTTCTACAGGTACAGAATCGGTTTGTCTCCCGATTTTGTACTTTATAAAAGGAAAAAGTGGTCACGCCAAAATCAAGTATTATTTGAATTGTGCCACGAGGTACAAAATCGG